TAGTTAACCTTTATCATTCCTTTTCTTTAGTGAGATGTCTAGAGAGAACACACTCAGCACATTTTAAATGGAAAGAACTTAAGAAAACAGTCAAACTTCAAGTGACAAGACTGAGAGATTCCATGGGCAAAGATATTGAAGGCTGCAGGATGCATCAAAAAGTTGGAAAGAAAACAGAGTCACTGTATGGTAAAGAATGAGTGACATTCAATCATTTCAAGAGGTAGCATATGAGCAAGTGCCAATGGCACTGAAGCAAGAAGTCCAAGCTGCACGGAAAGCATTAGCCAAAAACTAGGCTCCAGGAATTGGTGGGATATATCAACTGAAATGTTTCCAGAAGCTGATGAAGCACTGGAAGGAAGCACTCACTCATCTATTTAGAAAATCTGGAAGACAACTACTTGGCTAACTGACTGGAAGAGACAGCATTTGTACCCATACCAAAGAAAGGTGACCCAACAGAATGTGCAAGTTATAGAAAAAACATTGATATCACATGCCAATAAATTTTTGCTGGAGATCATCCAACAATGGTTGCAGCGGTATATTGAGAAGGAGCTGCTAGAGGTTTAAGCCAGACTCATATGAGGATGTGGAACAAGGGATATCATTGCTGATGTCAGATGAATCTTGGATGAAAGCAGAGGATACCAGAAAGATGCTTACTTGTGTTTCATCATCCATGCTGAGGAATTCAACTGTGTGGGCCATTACACACTCTGGGTAGCCTTCAGAAGAATGGGAATTCCAGAACACTTCATTGTGCTCATGTAGAACCTGCAGATGGATCAAGAGGTAGTTGTGTAAACAGAACAAGGGAATACTGCATGGTTTAAAATCAGGAATGGTTTGCATCAGGGTTGTATCACTTCACCATACTAATCTGTATCCTGAGCAAATAATCAGAAAAACTGGATGTATGCAGAAGATGACAGCCTCAGGATTGGAGGAAGGCTTACTAACAACCTTCAATATGCAGAGGACAGAACCTTGCTTGATGAAAGTGAGGAGGACTTGAGACACTTGCTAATGAAGATCAAGGATTTTAGCCTTCAAGAAGACCAAAATTCCAACAGGTGACATCATGATAAATCGAGAAAAGGTCGAAGTTGCCAAAGATTTTGTCTGGCTTGGATCCACAATCAATGCTCATGGCAGCAGCAGTCAAGAGATCAAAAGATGATATTGCATTAGGCAAATCTGCTGTGCAAGACCTGTTTAAAGTATTGAAAAGCACAGCGGTTACTTTGAGGACTAAGATGCGCCAGACCCAAACCCTGGTATATTCAGTTGCCCCACATGGATGTGAAAGCTGAGCATTGAATAAGAAAGAGCAAAGAAAAATAGTGAAGACTCTTCAAAGTACTATGGACTGCTAAAAAACAACAACAAAGAAATTTGGCTTAGAAGAAGTACACCTAGAATGCTCCTGAGAGGCGAGATGGAGACTCTGTCTCACATACGTTGGGCACGTGGTCAGGAGAGACCAGTCCTTGGAGAAGCACATCCTGCTCGGTCAAGCGGAGGGGCAGCAACACAGAGGAAGATCCTCGACCAGATGGGTTGACACGGGCTGCAACAAGGGGCTCAAACGAGAACAATTGTGGGACGGGTGCAGAGCCGAGCAGTGTTTCGTTTTCTTGTACAGAGGGTCGCTGTGAGTTGGAACTGCCGTGATGGCACTTCACAACAACGTGAGACGTCTTCATCGCATGACACATGGCAGCCTAGCAGGGAAGAGAGAACAAACAAACAGAAAGCGGTGTTTGTGGAAGCTGTGTGAGCTGAGTAAGAAGGCACTGACATGAGTTGAGACCAAGTCATGGAGGTTAAAGAGTCCCGAGGTGGTAAAAATGGTTAATATGCTTGACTTCTAATAGAGCGTTGGAGGTGGAGTCTTCCCAGAGGCACTTCGAGGAGCCTCAAAGAAACACCTGGTCATCTACTTTAGAAAAGAGAGCCACTGAGAACCCTGTGGAGCACAGTTTGACATGGAGACACATGAAGGCAATGGACAGCAACTAGTTGAAATAGGCGGAAGGGAAACTCCAAAACCCTTTTGGGTGATTCCAAGCTCTTCATGATCCATTCTGCTTCTAGAATCAGACTGGTTGGACGCATCCTTATTTAACAGCTATTATCACCCACGCCCTTGAGCACTAAAGACCCTTTGGACTACACAGTGCTTTCTCTGGAGTGCTGCCCCAGCCTTGTAGGAGATTCAGCAGCATCCTGGCCTCTCCTCACTAGGTGCCAGGAATACCTCATCCCCTCCTTCAAGTTTGAAAACCTAGAATGTTTCCAGAAAGGACCAACCATCTCCTGCTGGGGAGGGGGAGGCGCATAATGGCCCCTGATTGAGAACCATGGCTTTTAACAGATTCTTTTCAACTTCTTTATGGGTTCCCCAAGGCACTACTCTCTTTCAGGTAATATTCAAGGATAAGTCACTTATCTAACTACTAACACCTCTGTCTCGTGCTGACTGGCCTTGTAAGCCCCGTTGGTAGCCAGGCGGGAAGGCTTCTCAAAGCAAGCTGCATCACCCCAGTTCTAAGTGTTGGGGTTGCTTGGATTATTTTCTGAGATCATCTGAATTTTGTCTAGGGGAACGTGCCTCTTTTAAGTGAGTATTTCATAGAAATGATGATCGGTGAATTTTGTTTGGGGAATCTTTACACAGAACTAGGAGAAAGTCCGGCACACTTGGATCAAATATTAAAACAAAATCTGTAGGGCTTCCTCCTAAGAGTACCCTAAGAGTTATTATTTTAATACAAACTTAGCCACAAAAGGGGACTGGGAGGCCCATGGCTAGGGGAGGTGAAATGCCAAGTGATGTCTTAAGAAAGCAAAACTTCCCTCCTCCTTAATGTCATAACTCAGATGTGATATTCATGCCATTATTGGCAGCATACATACAATTTAAGTATTTTAACTCCCATTGTACAACTGGATCTACAGCACTGACCTTCAAGAGCCCCATTCACAAGGGATGAGGAGAGGGAACAATCAGTTACTTCATGCAGGGGCTGCCCAGCAGACAGGCTGGTTTCCCTCACATTGTCAGACCGGCCACCAAACAGGGAGGGCTGTGGGGAACAGTTCCCAACATGACAGGCTCAGGAAGGAGAAGAGTAGGGAACAGCCACCCTTTCAAAGCAGAGAGAGCACTGGCTTTTCCCTTTTTTCTTTTTGCAAAAAAAAAAAAAAAAAATTTATCACCTTTTGTTCCGGGAGAGAATGAAATCTCCATTAAGATGGGCTTGCCTGGGCATTTTGTTGAGGCTCCGTTCCTTTTGTTGCGACTCCAGGACACAGGGAGAGGAATCTGGGGCAATGGGGTTCCAAGCCAAGATGAGAAAAAGAAGGAATTCTTTCCAAGGATTCCTCCTATTGTCTCCTGGAGGATAAATATTTATGCAGAAAGTTCAAGTGAATTCTTTCACAACGGTCAATGCTTTAAGACTGAGCCTTTGAGAGTCCATGTAAAACTATGCTTAAATGAAGGCTGATCTAATTAGGCTTCTAGAGAAAACCAAGAAACCTCAAGATAATTTCCTATCTGAAATCTAATTGTATTCTCAAGTGGAATAGGAATACCACTTTGAATTATCCCAGATCCATATACTACAGCAAAATGTACACCCAAATTGGATTCTATTTTAAGTAATTAAGTTATTTCCCTTCGCAGGATCTATAATTTACCTCTAACAAATGCGATTTGCCTCAGAAAGATAAGGCACTGCATTTTTTTCCTCCAGAACAGATTTTCTGTGCCAGAAACAATTACTAAAAGTAGCCCAAACACTGCCTTCATTATATCCTTGTGATGATCTTTGAGTGCATGCCAGGCGTGCTGTTTGTCTTCCCAAGAGAGCTAGGTATGGCTAAGCGCAGTTTGGAAATTATCTTTAATTGGAGACTGGAGTTGCAATGAGGAGCCCTGGTGGCATTGTGGTTATGCACTGGGCTGTGACCCACAAGGTCAGCAGTTCGAAACCATCAGTCAGCTCCGTGGGAGAGACAGGGCTTCTACGCCAATAAAGTTTAGGAAACTCACAGGGGCTGTTCTACCTTGTCTGAGGGGTGACTCGGTGGCAGTGAGTTTGGTTGTAGACTGGAGCTGAAATGTGCTCCAGAACCTGGGGCATGCGCAATGAAAACGCAAACAGCTCTTGTGCAAAACGAGGCAGCAGCGTGGAGCTGAGCACTTTCTTCTGAGCACTGAAAACACCAGTATCAACTTCTGCTGCTCCACTGAACCGGGGAGGAGGTGGTAGGTATTGCCATAGATGAAGAATAAAAGTGTCGATTTGCATAGAAGACAATGCAAGAAGCTTTTAGGAGCATGGCTCATGATGTGAACAAGACATTCACTTTTGGCTTTGTTTTCAAACAGTTCATTTGACTTAAGACCAGGTGTCCTGAGGCACAATCAGGGGTACTTGGTATGAGGAGCAAGGGTTGGTGATGAGGCATGTTATCAGCACCTGAAAACGCATGTGAGCCTCTGCATGTTACTTCGAAGGCTCTGTGAAGAGTATAGCATGTACACGCTGAGGAGGATGAGGAGCACGTACAATGCTTACGTGGCCCAGGTACAGATGGTGTGTGTTACATGTGGGGATATTAGGAATAAACACAAAACATTGCTTTGCATACTTGTCCTTCTTTCCCAGAAAAAATGTCTTTTATAGGAATGAATCCTGGCTGGACACTTGTAAAGTTCCATCTGAATGTTAAGGCATTAGATTTTGAAATCACATGACCTGGTTCCAAATATTGTGCCTTTAGGGCAGGGCTGATCTGCACCGATTTCCTCGTCTGCAAAAGGCACCTAAGAATAGAACTCTAATCTATTATAAAAGCTATAAGGACAGGTAAAATAGTAACAAGTACCTGGGATTGTGGGCATGCCATACATGGCTGTTATTGTTATTCTTCTTTTCTGCCAACCATAGGGAAAAGCAATGGAAGTCAGGGCACGACACTAATAAGTTTATCATGTGCTTTTATTAACAATTTAATACAAAGACTGTACATATAGAGTCTAAAATTCAACCCACTCCTGAAAATGGAAGAACCACCTTTTAGAGGCTTTGGTTATAAGTGCCATCTTCTACAGCAAAATCGCATAGACTAGCCAAACAGCTTCGGAACAGTGAAATAAAAAACAAATAAACAAAAAACAATGTTCCCCTGGAATCGAGGGATTACTTATACACAAACAGACTGAGCATCATTTCTAGCTTAACGTGATTCACTACACATTCTGGAATGTTCAGTTCCCTTTTTTACAGTGCTATCACCAGACACACACAGCAACTAAGAACTTGGCCACAGGTCCTGCCTAGATACTCATCAATATGAAACACACACACAACACACACACCAGACTCACAAAATCCATATAAATAAGTCAATTAAACGTCATGACAACTAAAAGACGCAAGACAAAAACCCATCGGTCAAAAACTGTACAGTATTGGTCAGTCTTTTATAGCTGAAAACATGTGTAACTTAAAAAAAAGTCCCTTTGAAAAGTAATTTTTTAAAGGTCTTTTAAAAATCGATGTTAGCTGGAGTGAAAACTTGAAGATTCTGACTCAGTTGAAACAGAAGAGTGTCCACCTCGCTTTCCTTTAGAGAGGATCTTGAGGCTGGATCCTCTGCTCACTGAGGTCAGGGCATGCTGGGCAGAGGTCTTAAATTTGGCCCCTAGGAAGGCATAGAGGATGGGGTTCAGGCAACAGTGAAAAAAGGCAAGGGCCTCGGTGATGGAAATCCACTTGTGCACCAAGTCCTCAAACACACAGCCTTGCTTGATGATTCCCAGGAGGATGAAGGAGTCGATGCTGATCCCAATGTAGTAGGGCAGCCAGCAGGCGAAGAAAGCCAAGATGAGAATGACTGTGGTCTTGAGAGCCTTGCGCTTCTGGAGGCCCTTGGAGTGTGACAGCTTGGAGATGATGATGCAATAGCAGGATAGGATGATGATCCCTGGCAGGATGAGGCCAACAATGATTTGCTGAAACTGGAAGACGGCCACCCACAAGTCATTGGGATAGAAGCTGTCGCAGATATAGTTCCCCTCCGATTCGCTGACGCTGACGAAGATGAAATCGGGAATAGTCAACAGCAGGGCGGGTATCCAGACGCCGCCATAAACCACCTTCTCAGCCAACAGCTTCCTTGGCCGATGACTGTTGGTGGCATGGACGATGGCCAGGTAGCGGTCCAGGCTGATGAAGGCCAGGAGGAGGACACTGCTGTAGAGGTTGACGGTATAGATCACGTGGACCGCCTGGCACATGAACTGCCCAAAGTACCAGCCCGCCACCGCATCTACCGCCCAGAAGGGCAGCGTGAGCACAAAGAGGAGGTCTGCCACGGACAGGTGCAGCCTGTACTTGTCCGTCATGCCTCGCAGTTTCTTCTGGTAACCCATGACCAGGATGACTAATCCATTGCCCACGATACCAGTCAAGAAAATGATGGTGTAGATGGTGGGCAGGAAGACTCGATTGAACTGAGCGTTTCCTTCTCGGAAGCAGGGCTCCTTAGTGGAGTCATAGTCGCCAGAGCCCACTTCCTCCGTGTCGTTGTCTAAAGTGAAGAACTGCAAGAGAGGCAAAGGAAAGGCGATTTACTTCCAAGTCCAGCAGGTAAGTTAGAAAAAACAGTTTCTGGGATAACATTTTTAAAAAAAATTTTTTTAATGTGTTTTTTTTTTCCCTTTCCTAAAGCCCGACTCAGCCCAGCCCTCTTTAAGAAAGTCTGCTCCCACTTAAGGATGGGGTAGGGCACAGTAGCAGCATGGTGCGGAGCACACAAAGCCACTGCCTGGAGTCACTGGGACTCAGGCCACCTCGGAGACAGTTCCCCAGGCTTTGCAATCTTCACTGGGAGGGACAGACAGCCTGTCTTTCTCCCAAAGCAGCATGCTAGAACTTTATAATCCCTTTCCCATCGTTTCCCAGTCACTTTATTATTTCCTTTGGTCAAACTACTTCGAATCTAAACAAAAGGTCTAAAATAGGACGCCGAGATTCTAAGGTTTCAAAGCTGCGACTTTGCTAACTCATCTGCCCGCCCACTACAAAGAAAAAAACAGAGGCAAAACAAAACAAAACAGGCCACTCCCAGGTGGCGTGGGGGTAAGGGTAGAATCTGGGGTTCTTCAGAACTCGGGGTACATTCTATAGAATGACTCTCCAGCCCAGAGAAAAAGAGAGGTGTACTGGAGGACCCCAAAACCTTTCATTCTCCCAAGGTCCAGTATCAGTTGTTGCCCCCACATTTGTCTAAGTGTCAACCATGCTATACTTCCAGCATCACGTGGTGGCCCTGAAGCTTGCCGCCTTCACGCAAAAGATCTTGGGGAGCCTGGGGTACTGAACTTCGGAGTACTGACTCCACCCTGAAGGCGTGCGGCTCCTTTGCCACACCGAGGTCTCCGCGCTTGTCATTTGGCGCGCTTGGGACGTTAAGGAGGCGCCGCATTTCGCCGGCGGCAGGGGAAGGTCGTGGGGTGAGAGTCCCGTGGCCCTCGCCCCAAGTTTCATTTCCTCACTCTCCCAAGTCCCTTCCCAACCCGCCGCTGATCCAGCGACTAGGGTCGGAGGTCTGCAGCTGGAAGGCTGCAGGAGATGGGCGCGCGGGCTGCCCAGTGGTCCCGCTTCCCGCGCCCACCCCGCGCACGCCTGGGTGGGGCGGGCAGCGGTCCGGTGAGTGCCACGGGCGCCCTCGGGCTCAGTCCCGCAGGATGCCCGGGACGGGCTGGGCGGCTCCACCCCGAGCCACTTTGAATCGCGCGCCGCGGGAGGAAACGAAAAGCCTCCCCAGCGAGGGGGTTTCAAAGGCTCCAGGAAACCACCGGCGGTTAAACGGCGCCGTGGGGCTCAGCGAGGGCCAAACGGTCTCACCGCTCGCACCTGTCAGTCTGCACGCCCCGGCCCTGCCACATGCCGGCGACCACCCAATCCCGGCCCGCGAACCGCCAGGCGCGGCTGCCCGCCTCCACAGCCACACGATCTACTCTCTCCAGCCTAGGGGCGCGCCACCCCCGCGGCCCGGAGCAGGCGGCAAGCCCGGCCGCGCGGGTCGCCGCTTCTCCCCTAAGGCGCGCGCGGGCAGCCCCGGGCCATCGCCTACCTGCTGCCCGACGCAGGTGAGCTCCGAGGTGGGCCAGCTCGTCTTCCCTCCCCACGGACATTCGATCGCAGGACTGCGAGGGCCATCGCCCCCGGCCGTGCCAAGTGTAGCCACCAAGCGCCCAACGCCCACAATGCCCCCCAGACGCATTTGCCCAAAGTTCACCCGGCGGGGCACACCGTCCCTTCTGGGCCTGCAGCTCCGCCTCTGCCTTCAGAGAAGGTTCGCTCGCTCCCAGAAGAGCCCCCCGCCCCGGGGCGAGCTCGTCCCCCAGTCCCGCGGCGGCGTGCGTGCGGGTCCTCTCTGCACCTGTGCGCGGGCTGCGCCCCGCTTTGCAAACAACGTGCCGGCCCGGCGCGCCCGCGCGCGGGACTCGAGGGCACGACCCGAGCACTCGCTGCAGCCGCCTTTCGACCGCTCCTGGTCTACTCGCCGAGAAAAAGAGCCCTACCCCGACACCCCCTCTTCGCCTCCTCAGCCCGCCCCGGTTGCAGCCGCGCTCGGGAACCATCCTTTCCGCGGCCCCGCTCCCGGGACCCGGCACCTGGAATATTCGGGGCGCTGCGGCTAGCTCGCAGAGGGGGGCGTTCCCAGCAAGCTTTGAGCGTGGAAGAACAAACAGGTTGAAAGTGGGCTCACCGTGATCCCTTCCATGGTGCCCGCTCGCTCTTCACGCTGCGGAGAGGCCAAGGCCTGGAGCCACTTTACTACCCGCTGCCTTAGCCAACAGACTGAAGTTTCTGGCCGAAGCTGGACTTTTATAAAAACACGCTCCGCAGGCGGCGCATGCGTGGCACAGGCGGGCAGGTGGGCGGGGCAGGGAGAGGAAGGGCGGGTGGACGGGGAGCGGGGTATGTAGGGGGTGCCCGGGAGGGAGCGAGGATTGGGGGGGTGGGGGAGGTGGCCGGGAGGGAGCGGAGAGCGTGGATTTGGGAGTCTTGGAACGGCTGCGGCTGAGCGCCTAGCCACGTCCCGGGTCCCGGCGATGTGAGGGCAGCCCGCAGAGTCTCAGAACTTGGGAACGCGGGAAATGTCAGGACGGAAGGAGGATGCGTGGACCTGGGCCGTGACCCTGAGTGGCGCATCCATCCATGCGCCAGTGGGCAGAATTCCAGATTTGGGGATTGTAAGCATGGAAGCACTGAGACCCAGAGAGGTCCGACTCCCTGCTGGGGACTGGATTCGGACTCCTGACCTTCTGAGGCGACAAAGTAGAACTGCCCGTCGGGTTTCCCAGGCTGTCTGTCTGTCCTGAAGCAGAACGGAAAATCGATCAGCTGCTACGCGGCTGGTGGGTTCAAATTGCGGATCTGGTAGATAGCTGCCCCACAGGTAGCCACGACGCCACCAGGGCTCCTTAGTAACCCAACCAGTAGGTGGCAATGCTGAAAGTGGGGCCACCGCCTAAGATTCCCTGCCAGATTCTGCCACGGGAGAAGACAGTACTAAAGATCCTTTCTTCGAAGCACAAGGGCACATAGTCCTATCGAGGTGTATGTAGCTGTTCCGGAAACATTTTCACGAGAACGTGCGACTCTTAAGAGAAATACATTCGTATTCTCGGTAGGAGCCCTCCAGTCCACCTCCAGGCCCAGAGACTCCATAAAAGCTCTCGGAGGGTTTCTCAGGCTGCAATTGCCAGCCTTCCTCGCCCTGCTCTAGGGTTGGATCCGCTACCCTTTCAGTTAGTAGCCAACGTGTTTCGCCATCAGGACTCCTTCGGCCTAGTAACCAAGGAGTCCACAAATTGTAAACGCGCGTTTTACCCTAGGAGAATGTAGTGAATGGTATTTTTTTATATGTTTTGGCTGGTATGTTTTGCTTTGTTTTGGTAACGGATCATGAAGCACTTTCACACCACCACTCATTCATTTTCACAACTCCGTGGGATGGTGTTTATAATGTATTCAATGTATTTACTGAGAGTTGACTGCCTGCCTGGCGTTCTTCTAGGCGGTGGCCATAGATAAGGTGGAAAATCTGAACGAGGCGCAGGCTTGGGTGCTTGAAAGTGTGCATCCCAGCCCAGAGGAGAGTGCTTTCCAGCCTCCGGCCACTTCCCGCCGGCTCCCGGCCTGGGTGGAGCCCCAGGGAGGGAGGGAGAGGCGGGGCGGGGAATGGTCTGACCGCAGGCCCAGGGACCTCAGGAGAGAATGCGCGACGGGAGGTGAGCATGGGTCGCTATGGCTGCCTGGCAAAGCGGACCCCAGACGCCCCCCAGGCCTGGGTTGGCCCAAGAAGAGCATTTGTCCAGAATAGAGACCCTAACACTCACTCCCCATAAAACTGTGCGCCCCCTTACCGGTCTCCTTCCCTAATGTTTGCCCATCAGGGATAGGGTGCTGTCCGGAGGTGGGTTTCAAGGAAGCTGCCAGTTCAGGAGACCTCCTAATGAACAGATAAAATTAACCATACTATTCATTAGGTAGGATTACATTTATCTATTTATTTTTTGCAGAACGCTTTTACTTTCACTAAATCATCAAAACTTCAGGGCCTCCCCACTTTCATAAACGAGGTGGCGCAGGCACGTTACCTTTGAAGAATTAGAATTGGATGATTTCATGATTTGTTTTAAGGAAGCTGAGTCCTGCTACCCTGTTTCCCCCAAAATAAGAGTGTCATATTAATTTCTGCTCCCAAAGATGCGCTAGGTCTTATTTTCAGGGGATGTCTTATTTTTCCATGAAGAAGAATACGGTACACATTTATTGTTGAACAACAAAAAAAGGAAATCTATTATCTGTATACGGTACTGTAGTAGTTGTCTTCACAAACCAGCATAACCAGATAAACTGAATCCTACAGTATCAAGAATTTCTTGTTACTACCATGTACAACAATCTATGGTACATTTACTCATTTATTCAATGACAGCCATGTCATCATCTTCTGGAACATCATCATAACAATCCAAACCCTTATTTTCGGGGAGGCCTTATTTTCAGGGGTTGCCTTGTATTTCAGCGAGAGGCAAAACTGTAAGTAGGTCTTATTTTGGGGGGATATCTTACTTTTGAGTAAACGGTATCATTTCGAATGGACAGGGTAGAATAGAACTGCGTTTTGGAGTTTGGGAGATTGGAAAATCTTTGTGAGAACAGTCAGCCTCAGCTCCACACCCCACCCCACCTCCGCAGAAGGGCTGGTGGTTTAGCAGCCCCATGCTTAACAGAGTAGCTAAATCGATGTTTTGACCCTGGGTATTAGCTGAATATTACCTCAAAACTCCTTTCTTCATAGTGGCTAAAACTTCGACGTTAGAATCTTTCAACCCTGCCTGCCTGAAAAGGGTGTGTGAGCAAGATGGTGGGTGGGGGTGGGGTGGGGTGTGTGTAATAAAGTGGTCTACCCAATCAATATTTGTTGATTGTTGGCAGACAAAAGGGAGTGTCCTCCCTAATCTGCAGGCCGATACTAGCGCCTTTTAGGTATATCTGCCAAAAGGAAGCCAGATAATTAAGCGAACAATGAAATGCTATTTTGTGACTATCAAATCAGGCAGAAAATCTTACAAAGATAATACTCCCTTTCAGGATTTGATAAAGCCAGTATTCTTGTGTGACAGGTGGGTTTTTGGATGTGGGTTGGGACAACCACTCTGGAAAGCAATTTGGCTCCATTTATCAGGAACCTTTACAACAGTGATTTTGGTCTATCAGAACAACCCCCTCCCCACCAAGGGTGCATGCCACAAAGGTTTTCATCAAGGCATTATTTGTAAGAGTGACCTGTTTGAACAGCCCTGCATGTCCACTGCTAGAGGACTTTGGTATAGGAAAATATGGAATTCCATGTGGCCACTACAAATGAGGTCTGTGGAAAAAATTAGCGATGTGGGAAAATGTTTATGAATGTTGAGTGCAAAAAGCAGCATTCAAGGAGTGTGAGCGGTGTGAGCTTAGTTCATTAGAAAAGACCAGAAGGAAAACCAAGATGTTTATAGGGATTTCTGTTGGGTGCAGGATTATAGCGGATTTTTACTTTCTTCTTTTCTTACGCTTTTCAAAGTTTCTATATTGTACACAGGATATGTGTTCATATCTAGGAAAAAATGAATATTATGTTAAAGGAAAATACCAAGGCTCCTTTATGCATTCTCACTTTTCAAACTATCTTTTAGATGCTATGGCCTTTCTCTTCCAAAAAACTCCTCTGAGAAAAACAAACTCACTGCTGTGGAGTCCATTCTGACTCTTCGACCCCACAGGACAGGGTAGAACTGCCCCGGGAGTTTCCAGGAGGGTAACCGTTTGTGGGAGCAGAAAGTCTTTTCCTCAAGGAGCTGGCTGGTGGTTTGGAACAGTTGGCCATGGGGTTAGCATCCCATCACGATAGCACTGCACCACCAGAGCGCCTGACTTTTCCCTTTGCCCCTTTTCCAAGGACTAGTTTTTGTCAACTTTTTCCTGGGTCAATCCTACCTAAATCTCAACTCTGTTATTTCTTTAAAAACAAAGC